TGCCCTAGCAGAGTATAATTAAAGAGGAGAAGGGAGATAGTAAGGTTGGAATATTTCACCTCTCTATGTTTGAAGTGAATTTAACTTGAGCCTTGGGTTGTTTGGACTTTGTATGCAATGACATAAGATAGAAAAACATTTCAGGAAAAAAAAGTCACAAGAAAAGGGAGTCAGATTGGTAATGAACATGGAAATAAATTATGTAGGATAAAGTCAGGTTTGGGGCTGCTGCTCGCCTGGGCCTGAGTGGCACAAGGGATGTAGTGTTAAGTAAGGGAAATGCTTGTTTTCCCATTGGGTGCATTTGTCCCCTTGGAGACACCTCACGGCAGTTAATGCTCTGGCTTCCCTTGGTGTTTGGGGTCACTCTCTATTGTGTTTTAATGTGGAGATTGAGCCTTACAGGACTGGCCGAGTGTCTTGAGCTGGTGAGGGCCGGGTCTTGACCAACTTTTCTGCAAAAACAGATTTCACCGTGTAGGCCCTAACTTCAAACAGCCCCTTGCTTCCTATTACCTTGTTCAGTGTCTGTACTGAACTTGTCTGGCCCTACGCCCTTCCTGCACTGAAAGTGGCATCTTTCACAAGTTGGAGCTATTTATTCTAGGCCCCTACAGAAGCTCCTATCAAATCCACAACTCACCTGCCAACTGAGAAGGTGAAAGGAATGAGGTGGCTCTTTGCTTGTCATCCTCAGGTTGACAGCTGGCTGCCCCTCAAGACTGACTTCCTCTTCCCTTCAAGACTCCATGAGTGTTTGTGAATGCAGTGTTACATATATATATATATATAGTTAAGATTCACAGTATCAAATGTGTTTTGTAGTATTCCTCTGACATTCTCTTTCTTGCCCTTCATTCACTTTTACCCCAGCAGAAAATACTGTAAAATCTTTTGCTTGTTTTCCATCATATTTACCTCCATATTTTAAAATACCTTCACTAATGTTTTGCTTATCAACTTCTCTTTTGGCTTCTTGTTGCATGGGATTTAACTCTTACTCTCCTCCCCACAGTGTCTGCGGCCTTCATCCTCCTGATACCAGATTTTTGGTGACAACATCAGTTAGTGTTTACTTTGTGCAAATATGTGAACATTGTTCAGTGTAGAGCTCCATGGTGTACATCCCCTTTCTTAAGCAATTTTTTTAAAGATTTATTTATTTATTGATTGATTTATTGATTTATACATACAAGCACTGGGTACAGTCAGAAGCGAGGGAGGGTGAGAGAATTCACCAGAGGCAGAGCGGGGAGCAGAGCAGGCAGAAGGACCGAAGTACACTGCTGAGGGGAGCAGCGGGCGGCAGGAGAGGTCTGCGCGCCATGTGGGGACCCCCTCTGTGGCCGGGGAGCATCCGGGGATCGAACCGGCACTGCAGAGGCTGTGGGCAGCTTTGCAACCCAGCGCTCAACCGCTGCGCCACTGGGGAAGCCCATCTTAAGCAATTTTTTAAAAAAATATTTATTTATGCATACAAGAGCTGGGGTACAGGCCAAAGGTGTTGGGAGGGGTAAGAGGATTCTCCAGAGGGTGGGGACCAGAACAGACAGATTGACTGAAATGCACTGCTGAGGGGAGCAGTGGGCAAGGCAGGAAAGGTCTGCTGCACTATGTGGGTTGCTCCCTGGCCAGCCAGGGGATCGAATTTGTGCTGCAGTGGCTGCGGACAGTTCCATATAGTTTGGTCTTAACCCCTTGCGCCACTAGGGAGGCCCACAATTTTTTTTTTTAAAGGATATCACTTTTTAAAAAAAAAAAAAAAATTATTGATGCATACAAGAACGGGGTACAGGCCAGAGGTGCGGGAGGGTGAGAGGATTCACCAGAGACAGAGTGGGGAACAGAACAGGCAGACAGACTGAAATACACTGCTGAGGGGAGCAGCAGGAGAGATAGGAGAGGGCTGCCGCGCCATGTAGGATTCTTGCTGGCTGGCCAGGAGCAAACCCATGGGCTGCAGAGGCTGCAGACAGCTTCACAGCACTGCACTCAACTACCTGTGCCACCAGGGGAGGCCCACGCAATTTTTGTTTTTGTGAAGCAAAGATTGGCCTTGTTTTTTCAGCTGTCAAGTTACCAGTTAATATTATTTCCCTAATGTTAGGCTCTATAAGATAATCTGTCTACTTTCTGTCTTTCCTGGTACACTCTCCCTCCATCTCCAAGGTAGACAAAAATGTCACCCAGCCATCAGATTGGGCCTCAATTTCATTTTCCCTTTACCTAATCACCCTTGTTAGGATGGGGGCCAACACAGACTTCTGGTACAAAGTGCCCTGTACCTTGTCCTGCCTCCTGGCCCTGAATCTCCAGAGGTGGTTCTTTTAGCATCTGATGAAAGTTCTAAACACTCCCCAGGAAAATAAACGTATAACACAAAATTTGGCATATCATTTTGTGAAAGTATGTCTGAAGAAATTTATGTAACGTATACATAATACTTTTGGGAATTTAATCCTAGCAATGGCAGCATTCCAAATAAGCCTTTACTGGCTTAAAACTCTAATATTACAGTAAATATCCACAGTCCCTTAACATTTTCCATTTTCACCAAGTAGTTCTTTCCTCTTGAGCATTTTGTCATGTCTTAATATTTGATGGAGTGGTTTAATGTCCCAAGTTTTAGTAACTTGTGGGCTTACACCCAGTTGGAATCATTTCTACACCAGGGTGTTAGATTTTGTGACCTTTGATGTAAATGTATGTCTCCCTCCAACTGTTCTGTGTGTTGATGTGACTAAAAAGGATGAAGTTCCCCTGGTAACAGTGAATATTAGTTGAATGGAATTGAAATGAACCGAGAATAGCTTCCCCACCAGCATGCTGTCACCTAGAATGGTGATTACCAATTGAGGAGCCACTATATTTAGATAAGATGTTAATCTTTCTAATTGATGCCTTCCAGGGTCATTGACAAGAGGGAGGTTTTTTTTTTTTAATCTGTGTGCAAGAGAGTGACACCATCATGCAGTCACCCTGGTGTTGAGATGCTATTCAGCAAACTGCAAGGGACTGATTTAGATGAGAATGTGATTATACTGAATGTTGCTTGAAGCAAAGCAGTGCATTTGGCTTCTCTACTCACTGGTAGCTGCTGTTCACCAGGCAATGACTTTAAAGTGGGACCTGGCCTATATTCTCAGTCCTCAGAGATTATTTTCAGTTACTCATTGTGAATGATTCAATTTTAAAATTAGAAAATAAAAGACTGGGTTTAACTAAATGCCAACTTGTAAAAATGTCAAAATAACTAAGTTTTCACCATTTTTGTTTTATGACCTCTAAATTGGCATATCCTCCCTCAATTGACCCTGCAGTTATTTTCTCAGATTTGTAAGTGCTTCATTGATCTTAGTTGAAAAGGAAAATAACAAGTGATTTTAATCAGTATTAATATTCTGCTCTAGATACAGGATGGCAATCCTTACTTCACCCCTGCCTTTAAAAATCAGTAATATTAACATCAGTTGGTTAGAAAGATGACTCTGTCCCTTAAGAATTTAAAACTAATTCCATTTGGAGAACTTTGGAAAGTAGTGCAGTAGCACGAGATGCCTGGTGAGATGATTTTGCATTCAGCAGTTAGAACGTGGTAACAAGAAGTGAAGACAAGTCAGAAACTTGAGTGAAAGGAGAGACGCTGTAGGGTAAGGAAAAATGTCAGGCTCTTCTGCCCTCCCGCCATCAGGATAGATGATGGATCCTTGCAGTCCTGAGTGCATGCCTGATGGCGGGCACCTGGAGTAGGGTGTGGGCATAGGTAGATGGGATTCACCTGGGCTGAGACTGGGCTTTTAAGGGCGGCGTCACGGGGACGCCAGCAGAAGCCAAAAGAGAAGCCAAGAACAAACAGAAGCTGAAAGAAGAGGAGCAGAGAGAAGGCCAGAGAGTCCAGATAGAGTGAAGACTTGCTGTGGGCTGGGAGGCCTGCCAGCCTCCTGACCCCCCAGCACCCCTGCCTGCTGTGTACCGGGTAAATCCCAGTAAAAACCTGCAAAAAACTACTGAGGACTCTGACTCCTCCTTTACCCGGTCTGCTGGATCATAGAAAACCTGCTCAGTGTCCTGTCCTGCCCTTACAGACACCTACAGACACCTCGACTTTGGATAAAGGGTCTGAGGCATAGACTCTTGGAGAGATAAAGCCTCTAGGATATTAAAATACTGATTTTAAAAAAGTTTGAAGTCAAATAGCAAGAAATAGTGACAAATTACCAAAATTAATGGGAAAATAAATTTATTTAAACAGACACATTTGCAATACACCTTTTTTTTTTTCTTTAAGAAAATTTTGTGTTTAATCTTCTATGAACACTATGGGGGATTTGAGTGTTCTATTTTGTTCAGGGAGAAAAATAAGTTAGACAGGATGGCCGATGTCTTTTCCTTTTTAAGTAGTTCAGTGTTTTAGGCAAACTTGTCCAAGGAGATCATGACAGATATGACTCAATCCGTTGTTCAATGAGTTTGTGGAGCATAATGCTGGGGTTATGTAAAAGTTAACATTTCTAGTGCTGATCACAGCAGTTGATACACCACCATATCTACATGCACCCACTGAGGCTGATTCCAAAAGTCAGATGATCAGCCCCCAAGAGGAAAGCTAAAGCTTTGCTATAGAGAATTCAGTTTCCCCCCTGGTGTGTTAGGTATTTTACACACCTCTAAGTCTCGGATATTTCTATTTTATAGACATGGAAATTGAGGTTGAGTAGCTTGAGATCACGCTGATAAAATGGGGCTGAGCCAGGCTTGGAGTACAGGCTGATAGCACAGGCACATCTGGACTGGTTTGGGAAAACTCAAAGGGTCAAAAGTCTCATCCCATTTGCTTCTGTAAGGATTTTCAAAGTCTCTCATCAGTGTTTCCACTTGCTGCGAAGTTGAAATTGGTACAGGTTGTGGAAATGTTTAATTGTGCAAAAGTCCAATTAAAAAGCTCAGGGGAACCTACATGCACTTTGAAACACTGACCCTAATCCTCTCTTTCCTCTCAGGTGCTGTTACCCCCCTATGATGATGCCACTGTGAATGGTGCTGCCAAGGAGCCGCCGCCACCTTACGTGTCTGCCTGAGCCAGATGCTGGGGTGGGGCCGAGAGCAGCAACTTGAATTTTCAGAGTAGTAGCTCTTTGATTTCACTTCTGAGATGAGCTCTCTGAGCTTATTTATTGCTAAAATGCTACCCTGATAAAATTTAGATATTAAGTTGAAACCCTCTGTAGTCATACATGTGCATTTTAGCTGGAGGACTGTGATAGATTAATTGTGGAATTCTTTCTGTAGGGGTAGGGTGTAATGGGCTTCCTTGGTCTTCTATAGGCATTGAAACCTCCCAGTAATGTGGATGAACCTTGAGTTAGAGGAATCTGTTTTTGTACCTGCTGTGCCCCAGAGTTGGGAATTAGTTAACACTTTATTTCTCTGTTCCCTGTTGTCTTTTTTGAGTGTGTAAAATAAAATCAAAACTAGATACTGCTTTTTCTTCAGTCTTCTCTTTATATAGGAGAAACCTGTATAAAAACAGGAATGTTAACTCTGTAATCATTGCTCTAATTAGGCAAGTAAGAGTCCATCTATCTATAAAAAAAAAAAAAATTTCCTAAAAGATCATTGATGAATTAAATTCAGTGACATTTTGACTTTGCTGGCCAAGGCTAAGTTGAAACCTGTTGACAATCCCAACTGTCTTGTACCCCAAGTCTGCAGTTGAAGGGTGGGGCTGACGTACTGGCACAGCATGGGATCTGGTGCTCCCTTTCTCCAGGTTTCTCATCCCACCTTAGGCCCCTGACACTGTGTTCTGCCCTCCCCTCCTTACTTTATCAGTGGAATTGCTGATATGTGTTTATTTGCCTGATAACAAAGATAAAGGTTTTCATCTTCTCTCCCTGCAAGGCACACCCTACTACTTTAAGCTTCCAAGTGAAACTCATCATCTTTTACAATGTAAAACAGTCAAGAAAATGGGGAGGGGTACCTTGCTCATGCCTTGTTTCTTTTCTTGACTACCTGAACTTCAAGGGACTTTTGTATGTTTGTATGTCCAAAAGTCACATCTCTCCTGTTTATTCATTATTGAATGTGTTGTAAATGAAGACTTTTGCAATTAAAGTGAGATTTGTCCTCATTGAAGAAACAACTTTTTGGCTCTGTGTTGATTATGGCTCCGGACTCTTCCTGCCTGCATGTGGCCTTGCAGACACTCATAGTTCGGCCTATGGGGCCAGCTATATGCCTTGTTTCAACATATGCATTTTTTTCATATTTCAGTGCTGATAAAATCAGAATTGAAACAAACAGACCCAAGTTTGAAGATTCTTAACCTGCCTCTACCAAGCTCTGTGTGCTCGATTGTTTTGCATATGATTGCTTTATGCTCATAGTGCACTTTTTAATAAACAGTTCAGATTTTACTACATTCCAAAGGAAACTAAAATAAGAAAGGGGAGAGTCAACTCCAGTTATTTCTTTTGGCATATCTCATTAATATTCCTTGGAAAGCCAACCTAGGAAATTCTGTTCCTTGAAGCTTTATGCCTGTAAGAGTCACACTATGTTAAACACATTATCAAATGGTTTTGTCAATCCCCCTGGAAGACACATAGGAAGACAGTTATTTGCATGTTCCTCTCCATAATTTCACAGCTCTTCACCTACTAATCATTGCATGGAGTGCAACATGGAGTTGAGTGCTGATTCTGATGGAGCATGTAGGTGCCTTGAAGAAGATCTTGTTCATGTGACACTCAAGTAGCAGCATAGACACAGGGATGTCACATCATTCTTAGAACCCTGTAGGACAATACTGATTTTGTCCCAACTTATAGATGAACCAGGGTTCAGCTGCAAAGCTGCCTCCATATTTACCTCTGCAAAGGAATTACTGTCTTGGCTCCACTATGGGGAGGTTGTGATGTGTGGATTAAAATGACTGCAGGGCAGATCTTGTGTTGAATTCACTGTCTTTCTCTCATTGCCAATATCCAGCTATACACCTCTCTTTTCAGTATATTTAAAACCCCACTTTAACATGTGATCCCTTTCTCTCATTTTGTTGTCTGAAGAGAACCCCTAGCAGTCTATACCTCAGTTGTTCCTATGCCTTCATAGTTCTTGGTCACCTCACTGAAGAGAGCTCCTCAGTTTTTAATCATTTTACAATCCCTCCTCACAACCCCAGCTCTTTTTTTTTCCCCAAGATTTATTTATTTATACAAGCACTGGGGTACAGGCCAGAGGCACAGAAGGGTGAGAGAATTCACCAGAGACAGAGCAGGGAGCAGAGCAGGCAGAAGGACTGAAAACATTGCTGAGGGGAGCAGCAGGAGAGACAGGAGAGGTCTGCCACGCGGGAATCTCCCTGGCCGGCCAGGAATCGAACCACCTCTGCAGAGGCTGCGGACAGCTTCACAGCGCTGCGCTCAACCCCCTGCGCCACCAGGGAGGTCCACCCAACTCTTATTTTAAAGTCAGGGGCATTCAGCTGAGCACTACAAGGTAGGTAAATGGATCCAGCCTGTGTTAGACAGGGTCTTAATTGTGTTGCTGGGACAGATGGTTTATCCACCCAAGAAATTGTTATATTTCCAGAATGCCAAGTCACATAAAAGAGTTATAAGCCCTTTCCTGCACTTTCTTCCCATGTAAACATTATTGCAGCATCTCTCCTGAGTCTGATGCCCTGGCCCTGCCCCCTCCTTATCTATGTATCTCCAAAAATGCAGAAACTCCCCTTTCCCTTCTTAGCCCCCCAATACCTTTTTACTCTGTTCCAGCCCTAAACATTTGGTTGGACTGCGAACCCAACTATATCCCATTCCAGTTGTCTTTCCCCTCCACCCTCAGTTCATTAATAGCAATGACCTCAATTAGTAATGCCCTCAATAGACCATCTTTACAGGGTGTAACCATTAAAATTGTTTTCTCTGTAGAAGAATGTATTGTATTTGAAATAGTTCACATTCAAGAAAAAAGTCCTGCTGTGCAAACTGAGCTTTTGTGGTAGGGGAAAGCTAATGAACCTAGAAAAACTTTATTAACTTTTTTTTTTTTAATCACGGTACAATCAGTTTTCCCTTATGTAATAAACTTGCTAAAATGGGAACCTTTTGAAATCAGTAAATGAAATTATATCCCATCAACTCCTTGGTCCATTTCAAAATGTCCAGAGTCTGGTGTTGTAATAGAGCAAGGAGAATTTGGAAAGAAGCTGTGAGCCCAGGCAGATGGGGCATAATTGGCCCAGCATAGAGACTTTGAGCCAAATTTCTGTCTGGAAAGGCTAGCATTGAATATGTCGTAATTTTTGCCTGCTGCTTGCTAGTTACATGTCCAGTACAGTGGCATCTCAGCTCCCACTATGGTACACACACACTGAAAAGTCATATGCAATGACAGGTCCCAGATTCCTGGGGTGCTAGATTCAGGGCATCCAATCCAATCCTGGCCTTCTAAAGAGTCTCTGAGGCTCCTTCCACCTGTGATCTCTCCACATGAGGGGCCTCTTGGTCTGGGAAAACCAGAACAGTGTGTCTGGTTCTCTGAATGACCAGCAACAGCACAAAGGGGCCCTATGTCCTATGTTGTGGTCCTCAGATACAGTTCGATGACCTTTGTGTGATGTCACTTTTCACCCAGTGTTCATTTTAGTTAAAGGAATTTGGTTTTATTCTATTTTACTGTCACAGTATGTTTTTTTACTTTCTTTAGTTTTAGGCCTTTTTTTTTTTTAAATAATAAATTTTATTTTTATATTCCCCCATACAACTGCACATGTCCCATTCTGACCCCAATCCCTCCCCTCCCGGCCCCCACCCCCCAAAAAGTGTCTCTAGTTCATAGTTTTTTGTTGATTTTGATTTTCACTTTCTTATAGTTATTCATTTTCCTGATCCCTTATTTAAGTTTTCTAGATTCCTGCTATGAGTGAGACCATCCGGTATTTTTCTTTTTCTTTTTGGCTTATTTCGCTGAGCATGATCCCTTCCAGCGCCATCCATGTTGCTGCAAATTGCATGTGTTTATCTTTTTTGAATGCTGAGTAATATTCCATGGTGTATATGTACCACATCTTCTTGATCCAGTCATCTATTTTTGGGCATTTGGGCTGTTTCCAAAGCTTAGCTATTGTAAATAGTGCTGCTATAAACATAGGGGTGCAGGTGCTCTTTGGAATTGATGTTTCTGTGTCCTTTGGGTAAATACCTAGGAGTGGAATTGCTGGATCATATGGAAGCTCTATGTTTAGTAGGTCCAGAAATCTCCACACAGCTCTCCATAGTGGTTGGACCAGTTTGCATTCCCACCAACAGTGCAGGAGAGTTCCTTTTTCTCCACAACCTCGCCAACATTTGTTGTTGCTAGTTTTTTTAATATGTGCCATTCTCACTGGTGTAAGATGGTATCTCATGGTAGTTTTGATTTGCATTTCCCTGATTACAAGTGATGTTGAACATTTTTTCATATGCCTGTTGGCCATTTGCATTTCCTCTTCAGAGAAGTTTCTTTTTAGCTCTTCTGCCCATTTTTTGACTGGGTTATTTTCTTTGTTGTTGTTGAGTCTCATCAGCTCTTTGCAGATTTTTGTGATTAGTCCTTTATCATTAGTGTTGGGTGCAAAAATGTTCTCCCAGTTGGTGGGGTTTCTCTTTGTTTTTATTATTGTCTCTTTTGCTGTGCAGAAGCTCTTTAATTTGATGTAGTCCCAGCTGTTTATCTTTGCCTTCACTATCACTGCTTTGGGTGATGTGTCTGTAAAGATGTCTTTGATATGCAAATCACGTAGTGTTTCACCTATATTTCCTTCTATGTATTTTAGGCCTTTTTTTTAAAAGATTTATTTATTTATTATTTATACAAGCACTGGGTACACTCAGAAGCGGGGGAGGGTGAGAGAATTCACCAGAGCTAGAGTGGGGAGCAGAGCAGGCAGAAGGACCGAAGTACACTGCTGAGGGGAGCAGCGGGCCGCAGGAGAGGTCTGCACGCCATGTGGGACCCTCCTCTGGTGGCCGGGGAGCAGCCGGGGATCAGAACCGGCACTGAAGAGGCTGTGGGCAGCTTCGCAACCCAGCGCTCAACCGCTGCGCCACCAGGAAGGCCTTAGTTTTAGGCCTTTTTAATTCAATTTATCTTTCCTCCATGTGGTCCCCTTGTGTAAATAATAATGGCAACTCTAAACCAGCTTTTATCAGTGCTTCCAGTCTTTTCTAACTTCATGACATATCGACATTTCATACTCATTGTGCTCAAAATGGAAAACTGGCCTCTGTTTTCCCCAGATCTGCTCCTGTTAACTTGCCTATCAGGGAATAGCCTCCCATCATTCCAGTCATCCTGACTTGAGATCAAAGATCTTTGCTTAGCTCCTTTTTCTCTCCCCATATCTAATAAGTCCCCAGTCCCAGGACTTCTACCTGGATATCAAAGCAGCATTTACTATTTGCTGAGTCTTTCTTATGAGCCAGCCAGGCTGGTAAGCATTTTACACTCAATTCTTATCTCCACTTTACAGTTGAAGAAACAGTCGTAAAGAAAAATAACTAACCCCAAGTCACACAAGTGGCAAAGCCAGGATTTTAATGCCAGTTGAGTCCATCTAGGAGGATGTTGCACAATTTTGAGATACCTAGAATTTCAGAATCAGGCTCAAAACCTCTCACATCTTACCAACAATGGTTGGAATTACTACATCCCAACTAATTGGGATTAATGCATCCCTAGAAACAAAGCAAGATGTGAACTTTGTAAGCGTTGGATATATCTTTAACTTAAGGCTTGTGTTGAACAACCAAAGCTGTCGATTTTCTGTTTAATTAGAATAGAAAATGTTCTGCAAACATGAGCTTTTAATTATTGTAAAGAATTTATTCAGGCAGGAAGAAAGATCAATAGGTGGGACCCTCATAGTGCTTGTAAGTGAGCAATTTCTTTTTGAAGAAATTGGGTGCCATTTTAAACTGCACTGATTTGTCTTTTTTGAGAAGAATGCTAAGAATGTTAAGAACAGTGTCATGATTTGTTGGCACTATCTTAGAGGAAAAGCAGGGGGCCTCAACACTCAACTTCTGTCCTGCCTCTGTCCTGGAAAACCTATATCATGATATCTGTTTTTGCATCTATAAAATGGAGACAGAGTAGAGCAGTCCTTT